ACTGGGCTCTGGGGAAGCAGTGTGAACGGGCAACAGTTTGCCACAGTTCCCGCCCTTATATTGCCTTTCAGATCCAGCAGTTGAAGCATGGGCAGACCTCTCCACTGAGCCACTGGCTTTGTTCAGTTTTCTACTCTCTGAATGTCAGTGACACTTCTCTTCAGCAGCACATCCCTATCCTCTTGTGGATTGTTGTCCGCGATCTCTCCTGTCAGGATATGGTGCTGACTTGTGGATAGCTCACACTTTTCTCTCACACTCTTTCCTTTACTTAGGAGCTAGAGTGCTCTTCATCAGGAGGTGCTCTGATATACCTGTGTTTTCTGTTCAATAACCATGAGAAATATTTCATAAGTGAATATATGATAGTATATGGTATGGTATCTGCAAGTGCTAAATACTCTTCATTTGCTATTATACATAGAGCACAGTAAGTGCCTTTCAGTGGTAAAAGGAAGCATCCTTTGACTTAGGAAATTCGAATTAAAACATCGTTGAGACAAGAACTGACAGCTGCTTCCTGACATCCAGCCATTGCCTGTAACAGGCCCGTGAGTACAAACTGAAACACAGGCGAGTCTTCTTGTTTCTGAGACGTTGACAGAATTTCCCCAGTGTTTAAACATAGTCATATGCCCAGCTATATAAATTTCAGTATAAAAATATTCAGTAGGTTTGAGGTGACACTCCCATTTTTGTGGAAAGTAGATCTTTAATAATTTAGTCCAATCTTACTTTGAGAAAGGGGAAGCAATGATAGCGTTTATGCAACTGGAATTGTCATTTTTACAAAAGATCACATCCACTTTTCTATAAGTCAGTTTTCCTTAATCAGGACTGTCCAACAAAACATTGTTAGCCATTCATGATCTGAATTTGGGGGTATGAAGGAAATTACGGTACACGTTAAAAGTCATGATATGGGACATTTGTTTTGTAATAAATAAGGCAATGGAATTTCTCACTATTAGCCTTTTTAAGATAAGCTACTAGGTCTGCCCTCTATTCCTTCTTCTTAATTCCAGCAAAGATCATTTTTGTTCCAGGAATGTACTTTTTGAGATTATCCAAACACTCTATCAGGGCATCTCCTCCCCAGGTGATGTCTTTGTTCTTTTTGGCATCTGTGTACGAGAATCCAGCCACCTGACCCATCTTCCTCCCAAACAGACTGCTGAGATTTGGTCCAGTCTTATGCTTGCCTCCCTTTTCCACAGTGTGGCACTGGGCACACTTATGAACAAAACTCTTCTTGCCTTTCTCAACATCACCCAGTTTTAATTCACTCCCAGGTGATCAGCACCACAACCACTGCGGCCCAAAGACGTGCATCCAGCTCTCTAGCCCAAAGACACACCGGCCTGCACCTATGTACTAGTGTTGGTGGAACTGCATTTGTTCTTGGAAGACTAATTTATAAGAAAATTTATTGTGTACTTTAAATATGTACAACATGAGGTTTTAGAAGAAATAGACAACAACAATGTTTTTTATAGTGAATCAATTTCACAAGTCCATCACCTCACATATAGTTACTATATTTTGATTTGACATTAAGAGCATCTACAATCCCATTTAGTCTGAATCTCATATAAAGTTCATTGCTATTTTGATATTTATGTTATAAGTTGATCTCCACATTTTCTTATCAACATGAGGGAAATTTTGTAATCCTCTGATACACATACTATCTTTCTCACCTTATGCCTAACCTCCGTGACTAGCATTTTGTTCTCTATTTCTGTGTTTTTAAAAATGGTTTTAAGTTCCATATATAAGTGAATCCATATGTTAGTTTTTCTCTGCCTAGTTTATCTTAGCTGGTATATTAGTCAAGTTCATTAACTTTATAGAAATGGTAAGAACTTGTTCTTGTCAAGGCCAATATTATTACATTGTGATCATACTTTTTATGCCATAGTTTCTTTACTCATTTGTCCATCAACAAACATTTAGGTTATTTCCATATCTTGACAATTTCTGAATTGCCCCACAATGAGTTTGCCTTCATGAAGTAAAGATAGGGTGGTCTTCATTGTATATATGCCCCAAAGAAGTATTTATGGATAAAATGATAGTTCTGTTTTTAAATTTTTTTTAAAGTATTCATACAATTTTTCATAATGGGTGTACCAATCAACAGTACTACTAGCCATACAGAATAGTTCCCCCTTTTCCACACCCATGCCAACAAGGGTGTTTATTCTTTGAGAACTACATTTATATACAATATAAATTGATCATATATGCCCCCACTGCCTTTACCCCCACTTCAACACATCTTTCTCCCAAGCATCAAAAAAGTTAAGAGACTTGTCCTTTGGAAGAGGAGAGTGGGCACATTCCTTGTCTTTTAACTGGCTGTATGTTTAAGCAAGTGGGCTGAAGAAGACAAAAGAGGAGGGGTCTGCTTCTGTAATTGGGGTAAAGGAGGACCCCTTTCCTCTGTTGTAGTCAGCCTTTGTGATTTATGCAATCCGTGTGTTTACCCTGTTAATAGCATCAAAACAGTTCAACTGAGTTATGTTATGGATAAATTCAAGGTTAATCACAATGACTTGAAACTCCAAGTCATGGAAAGGGGAATTAATGTGCCAAGGAAATACAAAATCTTGTTGGAAGAGGGGGCTGCTTGTTGGTTTCTGGCCGCCTCCAGCTTAGCCCCAAAATAATCACACAGAAACCGTATTATTTAAATCACTGCTTGGCCCATTAGCTATTGCTTCTTATTGGCTAACACTTACATATTAATTTAACCCATTTCCATTAACCTGTGATGCATGAGGTCGTGGCCTACCAGCAAAGTTTCAGCACATCTGTCTCTGGTGGTGGCTTCATGGCTTATCCCTGACTCAGCCCTTCTTTCTCCCAGCATTCAGTTCTGTCTCCCTAGCCTACCTAAACTCTGCCCTGCTATAGGTTCAAAGCAGTTTCTTTACTCATTAATGGTATTTAAGCATAAAGAGGGAAATCCCACATCAGAATCCTAAAATGAGACAGAGAAAAATACGTGCAGACTTGCACAGTGCCAGTCGATTGACTAAAGGAACACACAAGCTCTTTTGACTCTCTGTATAGGTAATAGCTACTTGTTTCTCTGGTTCTCCAGTTTGAGCTTCTCTTCTTTCCTTAGCAGAACTCATGACTAGCTGGGAAAATGGTACTGATTCCAAGAACCCGGAGACTGTCAAACTTTCTCCCTTAGTTGTCTCGTATAACGAAGTTAGGACTGAGAATAACTTCCCAATGAACCTTGTCTGTCCTTAGAAAGGTGGATCAAATGTTAATAAGTGTTGTCAGTTTAGAAAGAAAAGCCTCTGCCACCAGGTAAATGAAAATCAAAATTGCATCAAGATTCCTTCTCACTCCAGTCAAAATGTCTAGCCTTAAGAACTCAGACAGAAAATTCTGGCAGCAGTGAAGCAGAGAAGGAACCCTTAGACATTGCTGGTGGCAATGCAAACTAGTTCAGCCACTGTAGAACTCAATGGGATGTTATAGAAAGAAATTAAAAGCACCAGGTGTTTCATCCATACTAAGGCCATAACCAGAGAGTCAAAGCTTACGACAGAGATGTCCGGATGCCTGTGATTCATTACTTCTTTATAATAGCCAAGGTATGAATCAGGGTAGGCAGCCATCAGTGGATGACGGATGGAAGAAATGTGTTATACACATACACACACAGCAGAGCATTGTTTAGTGACAAAGAAGAATGAAATTGCATTACAGGACAATGTATGGAACCGAATGGGATCATCAGTGGAACAGTCAGGCTCACATAGATAAGCATCACATATTTTCTGTCATGTGAATGACAGAGTAAAAAAAGAGGTATTCTGAGAGATTTAGAAGAGAAAAGAGGGTAAAGTGAGAGGAGATAAGAAAGGGTTATAGAGGAGGCAGATACAGCATATCATTTACTACTATGGAAAGTCAACATATATCCTATACATTATGACAATAGCATAACTCAGCTCTTTCGTGGAATTTATAAAAGAATAAAAGAAATATTCTGTTCTGAATATTTTTCTATCTTCACCACAGTAGCCACCAGTTTCTGTTTCCATAAAAGTGAGATTAAGAGTTCTCTTCAATGACTTTCTGTCTAGACTGTTTCTTTGTGGGGAAAGTGGGGGAGACAGACGCCACAGAAGTCTTCTATGTTGCTCATTCTCAGCTAGAAGTCTGCAGTCATAGATACCACTGCAGCAGAAGCTTCCATGACATTTACAAAAAGTGGCAGCACGTATCATGAACTTACACATGGGTTTCTGGAAATAGCACAGGTACCATAGACATCCACATGGCCTCCAGCATCCATCAGCATGGACCACGAACCTCAGCATGGTGTCTGGCAGCAGTTAAGATCACAGACATTACTACAATCCTTGGCTACAGTCTGGACCCCTGGCACCATTATGGTCCTTGACCACAGCACAGGTCATGGACATTGACGTGGCCTCCAGTGGCAACCCAGGCCACAGACATCAGCATGACTTCAGGCAGCAGCACAGACCTTGGACATAAATATGGCCTCCTGAGGGAGCACAGACCAAGAACACAAAATGGTCTCCAGCAGCAGAAAAAGACTATGAAGAAAGGGATTTGTATTGCTCTAACACTGCAGGAAAGTCATTTTCTTTTATGTTATACATTTTAAAAAAGATATGATATTAAGCTCTATAAATCAAACTTCCTGCCTTGTGCTGTTGGTGATATCTGATGGTAAGAATGGGGAGGAAGAGGATATTGCTTACCTAACTGTCCCTTCCCACTATGCTGGCCTATTATTCCTTTGCTTGGCATACTAATGGTAAGTGGGGTGAAGAACAAGGTAATGTTTACAAGAGAGAAGTTCAGAGAGCAAATGTTAGCCTCACCTTGCAGAGCTAGTTCCTACAGCCTGAGACCAGTGAACGAGGGAAGAATTGGATTTCACTAGAGCTAACAACAAGAAGGTTTTGTAAACGTGCCAAGAGCAAGGTTCACATTTCCAGCCCCAGCTCAGTTAATTTTTGCAAGAGGCACATCAACGTTCACTCACTCTTCAGATTCCCACTGAGCCTGCTGCCTTGGAAGGGTCTTTCACCTCCCAGAAGTCCACTTTTACAAATACTTCCTGTGGAGACAGCTTTCCAGGTGAGGATGTGTCTCAGAGCAGTAGATCTGTGGGATGAAAGGGTCTGGAAGCCAAATGAACAATACAGGAACTGTAGGTCATAAAATGTTTTTGTGGGATGCATAAATGATGAGTGGGTTTTAACTGTTCATTAAAATATCTATCTATCTATCTATCTATCTATCTATCTTCTTCTTCTTCTTCTTCATCATCATCATCATCATCATCATCATCATCATCATCATCATCATCTCTTTCTCTATCTATTAATTTTTATTGGGAGCATGTGTACCACAGCCCTTTTGTGAAGGGCAGTGGATAACTCTGAAGAGCTGATTTTCTCCTTTCACCTTTATGTGGGTTTTGGAGATCAAACTCTGGTCACCGAGCTTGTGTTGTAAGTACCTCTGCCTGCTGAGCCATCTCCCTAGCTCATGGTATCAGCTGTGCTCATAGAGCATCCAAACAAACAAAATTCTCCATACCTATTGACATAATGGACTATGTTAATTGCTTCAGTCTGGCAGCATACACACATACACGGCACCCAAAAATTTAACATAAAGCTATGCACTGTGTGTATTTTCTACAAAATTTCACGGTATACCTTAAATATATAAAGCAACATGGTTTGTAAAAGGTCATTATTGCTTTTTAACATTTTCCTCCTCTCAATTAAATGATATCAAAATGATCATACTGAGTGACTCTCAGAATATGTACCAAAAATACACAAGGAAAAAATAGTAATGTCACTTGATGAAACATATAGCATGCATGAATTCTGTAAAAGGTAGTTTGTCAAGTATAATGAAAAATCCTTAGATATTTCTTTTATGCAGTAATAAGGAAGTATTTTATGGTTTTTGGAAGTGGGTGGATATAGAATCTACTGTGTGGTGGTACTGCACTGCTGTTCTCAATCTTTCCAGTTGTATTACAGAGTACTTGGGTTTCTCTGTCCACTACTGGTAAGAGGGTAGCAAGAATACACCCCACGGTGATATCACTTAATCAGATAGCAAGAAAAATGTATTCTCAAGATTGCATCTGAAGACTAGTTTTGAATTTACCTACGTTTTCTTTTAAACTCATCCTTCGCATGTTACTTAGAAGCTATTTTGTGCCCTATATATTCTGATTGTACTTTTAATAGTAATATTATGCCCATATTCCACAATCCTATACCTATATTCACTGTATATCATGCCTGTAGGTATGGTGTTAATGTTTGAGAGTTACCATATTTGCTAGATTGGATTTTACATTTTTTCCCTAGTCATTAACATTGAGGTTCTATTTAGCACATACCTGTGTTTGTATAGCTTTAAAAAATTCTGTTCTGTTGTTTTAAACTGCTTTCATCAGATTAATTTCTATTCCTGGCATAGCAGGGTCAGCAACTCCAGAGTTCAATTAGAAGTTGCTCAGTGCTACTTAAGAATTTGCTTAGAGAGAAAACTATGCAAGAAAGGCAAAAACAACAACAGGCTAAAAATAGCAGCTGGAATGTGACTTGGCTTTAAAGTTTTGTCATTTATATCTAAAAATTTCAAAGTATTTTACAATGAAACATTTTCATCAAGATATGCATTGTTAATTCACATGAGGAGAAAGAAGAGGAGGAGAAACATTATCAAGAAAATAAACAGCACAGTTGAATATTGTTTATATGACCAACTCTCTGCCAAAACACGTTGAATGTTAACCAATCTAATTTTAGCCCCACAAACATTCTATGAGCCCAATGATGCTATCATCCCATCTACCTTTTAAGAAACCAAAGCACAGAGGCTAAGCAACTTCCTGAGTAACACCATTACTGGAGATGCCAGGAGATACAACAGCACACTGGAAACTCTAAAGAATAAAATGCACTTGTTCATGTAATTTAAATCCAATGGTGAGATGAGAAACTGAGAAGGTAAGAGAGAGACTCCTGTGTTCCTCCTGCAAGTCTGGTGCTTCCTTAGGGCTGGTGAGGATGTTAGTGAATGTAAGACTTGGCTAATCATACAGAACTGGCTACTGTTGTTTCTGTCATTAATGAATGTCCGTTCATTATTTCTCTAGGCTAAAGTGTCCTCATGGCTGTTACACTGCAAGGTGCCCAAATGCTGCAGACGCTGGAGAGATCATTGAGGAAGTATCTTCCTGAATCCTTAAAGGTGATCTCAGAAAATGTGAAGGTCAACAAGGAGAGAGTGGAAGTGAAAAAGAGTCTGACATTTATGCTTCACTGTGTGTGTGTGCATACACGTGTGGCGTGTGTGAATGTGTTTGGTGTGATTGATGTGTGTGTAGTGTGTACATGCATGGATAGAATATGTGCATGCATGAAGAGCTCAAGATTGACGTTCAGTGTCTTCCTTGATCACTTTTCACCTTATATGTTAGGACAGGGTTTCTTGGTGAACCTGGAGCTGACCAATTCCATTAGTATAGATAGTCAGGTTGTTCAGGAAATTCCCCTGACTATTCCTTCCAAGCACTGGGATTACAGCAGGATGTCAGCACTACTCGGTACTGTGTGGGTACTGGCAATGAGAACTTTGAACTGGAGTTTATATGTGGAGTTTATTGTGTGGTAAGTGCTTTATCCATTAAGCCATCTTCCAAAATTCTATGCAATATTATTTTGAGCCAATACATATTTCATATTTTTCCAATTTAATTTACATAACTTTTTTCAATATATTGCCACTATATCTGTGTCATTAGTTAAGAATATGGAGATATAGTTAGGTGAGGTAGTGCATACCTTTAATCTCTGCACTTGGAAGCCAATAGGCAGGTGATTCTGTGAGTTCGAGGCTATCCTATCTACATATGCGTTCTGGGCCAGCCAGGAATACATAGTGTGAGACTCAACCATCATAAGAAGACTGTGGTGATATAAAGAAGTAATCTAAACATTATGGTAAGCAAGACTTCTCGAGAGACAGGTGCTTGCCTGCAAGCCTGACAGCCAGGGTCTGATCTCCAGATCCCACTCGGTGACAGAAAAGAACTAAGTCCTAAAAGTTACCATCTGACCTCCACACACATGCTATGACTCATGGATGCCCCACAAATAAAATACATAAATAAAATGCAAGAATATGTGGGATATCTATTTCTTCATATTTCAAAGGCATTGAGTTGCACCACAGTCATGTGCACAGATGGACTTTGCCCTCTGCTGACTGATAAGTTTTTCCATTGCTTCTTTTCAAGAATCATTCCTTAGCAGCACTTGAGATTCCCTGGGGTTTTCCTTCACATTTAGTTGAGGGTACCTATTAATGTTTAATTTGTTCCTTCCAGAAGAATGCTTGCCATGTGAAAATTAAACCATCTTGAGTTGAAAGTTAGAAACAGGTCTGTTGCTCTGAACTTAACGCATATCAGAATATTTTGAACTTGGCTTCCATTTTTTCTCCACAAACCCAGTGCAACTGAGTAGAGACCTTAGAGTTGACTAAACTATGTCAATAGATACAAATGTTTACATGTGAGCTGTATAAAAGCAGCTCTAATGGTGGATTCAGATGCTTTTTTTTTTTAATCAAATGAGGTAAGGTCCACTCCAGTGGAGCTTAAGTATAACTATGTTTATGTGTGCTGTGTATGTGTGTTTGTGTGTATGGTTTATGTGTGTATATATGTATGCAAGTGTTTATGTTTTCTGTGTGTGCTTGTGGTGGTGTATGTATGGACATATGTATGGATGTATTTATGTGGAGTTTTTCTGTCCTGACTGCTTGGTTACAAATAAACACACTGAGGCTTACATTAATTATAAATGCTTAACCTATTGCTCAGTTTTATTACTATCTCTTCAACTTAACTCATTTCTATTCATCTTTGTGCTGCACTGAGGCTTGTAACTATTACCTCTATCTCATTTTGTGTGTCCAGTTACTTCTGCATCCGGCTGGTGACTCCTCTGACTCCACCCTTCCCCCTTCCCATAATTCTCCTAGTCTGGCTCTCTTGTTCAATCTATTCCTCCTCAGCTATTGGTCAATCATCTTTTTATTAGTCAATAGAGTAATACATATTCATTGTGTACCAAGATTACTCTATAACACATATGTGAATATGCATGTATTTGTATATGTATTTCTGTGTGTATGTGTGTTTGTGTGAGTAGTTGTATATGTGTAAAATAGTTCATGTGTATTTCACCTGTTTGTATAATTCTGTGTGTGTTTGTGCTCATCTTTGTGTGTGAGTAGATGAATGTTTGTGCTTGTGTGATTGCATGTGTGTGGCTTAGAGAAAAAATAGTTCCAGATTTCTGTCACTCTATAAGGCATTTTGTACAAAATTATTTAAGACAAAATGAGTAAATTTGGTTCTTACTTTCTCTTATATTTTTGGTTGTGAGCCTAGCCTTTAACGGCTGAGCCATCTCTCCAGCCCTCAGTTATTACTTTCTCTAGCAGATTTTCTACTCCCTTTTATAAAGAAGAAAAATATTATCATTCTATTATTTATAGACTGTTTTGTTTTATTTAATAATAAAAGGCTAATGGGGGAACCAATCCTATTATTTACTACCCAAATAAATCCGTTTCAAATCAAACTAAAATGAAAAAAAACACATTTTAGTAAAGTTCACTGATAAGAGACAAGACCTTCTACGTTCCCTGGAAATCCACAGGTGTCAAGAAATCTCTCAGGGAGAAAGTAAACTTAAATTTTTCTCGGAAATTATATCATTTGATACATTATTTTTTTCATGAGTTATTTTTATGTTGAACAACTATTTTTAGAAATTCTAAAAGCTAAAAGCTATTTTTACATGTTCGCTGATAGGGAATATTAAAATGTAATCTCTCTATTCCTTATGTTAAAGGTGAATGTCAAGCATTTTGAGAACAATCTAGGTGTTTCCCAGTGGTTTTCTTGAGCCCATGGAGTGAGATGAGGTCACTCTCTAGCTTTTAAAAGGGAATACTTAACTCTTTAGTCATACACTAACGCACACATTTTCTCCCAAGAGAAGTCTGGAATATCCTTAAAGGAAAGAGTAGTGAATGAGATCGTTTGTCCTAGATTCTTCCTTGGCTCTTTGTTATCACCAACTGTCACAATTTCACAGGAATGTCTCTGTCCAGAGCACACAAGGTGCTTTTTGATTCATCTTAATAAACTAACCGTCTCACTTCCTTTCAGGTTTATGGGACTGTCTTTCACATGAACCATGGAAACCCATTCAACCTAAAAGCTGTAGTTGACAAGTGGCCTGATTTTAACACAGTGGTTGTCCGTCCTCAGGAACAGGTAAGGAACCAGATGTGAACAAATATGCTTATATGATTATTCATGTAGAATCTAAAAAAAATCTTATCCCAGATTACATGCTTTAGGAGGCCACTTCTTTGTTCCCAGTTACCCAGAGCACAAAATAATCATACAGAAACTATATGATTTAAATCACTGCCTGGCCAATCACTTAAGCATATTGCTAGCTAGCTCTTATATCTTTGGTTAACCTATTTTTATTATTTTATATTTTATTATGAGGCTTGTGGCCTACCAGCAAGGTTCCAGCTGGCAGCTCTCATCTTTCCCCTCTGCCGGATCCATGGCATCTCGCTGACTCCTCCTTCTTCCTCCCAACATTCAGTTTAGTTTTCCCTATCTGTCTCTATTCTGCCCTGCCAAGCCCAAGACAGCTTCTTTATTAACAAATGGTAACCACAGCATAGAAAGGGAAATCCCACATCACCTCACCTTTTCTGTCTAAATAAAAAGGAAGGTTTTAGTTTTAACATAGTAAAATTACGTATAACAAAACAGGTGTCAAACAAGAATTACATATACAATATTTATATTTACTTTATCTTTTATCATAACTAAGGAAAACTGTAACTATCTATTCTTCAACTCCATCAAAGACTCCAGAAGTTTATAAAATTACCTAAGTTAACAGGAAGTGCATTTTAAGCAACTTCCAAAACTAGAATTTAAAGAGACATCTCACTGCCTAGACATTCACCCTAAGTTCTTCTGTACCTTTGGGGCATCCATCTTCAGCCTATAGGCCCATAGTATCTGGCAGACTTTTCCATGAAGTAGGAAATTTCAAAGACAGTTTTGCCTATATTGGCAGTTTGTCAGTCACTTTCTTCTGTGTCCTGCAGAATGTCTGGCAGACTCTTTCATGAAGCAGGAACCCTGAAGGATCTTCTCACATTTACGCAAGTTCAGCAGTCATTTTTCTGTGGATCCTGCATATCCAGTTCATACAGCATAGCATTAAGCAGTTCAGGTGACAGCAGTTTTTTGCCCAAATGGCTAACCAACACCATAAAGAGCCTCTTCGGTGCCCATCATTCTCTTGATGTAGATTGGTGCTGCCAGGAGAAGATGTGTCTCATTGTCATGAAAAGTCTTGACTTTTAAAACACTTTAAATGTCATATCCTCTAGTCTTTGGAAGGTTTGAAGAATACCTATCTGAAATATAACTCTATATACCTAGAAACCTAACTAACATGATTACAAGCTTGACTATTAGAGATGGCTATCTATTAACCTATATTTCTTAATTATATGTTACAATTTTAAATGAACTGCACAAACACAATTTCTTAATCAAAAACAGAAATAAATATATAACAAAATTGACCTTAAATTTTTTGTTGATAGATCCATACCAAAGCAAAGTATTCATTTCTATATCATATCCCCCTTTAAATGTAGAGAAACTTTTATAAAGATTATTTGAGGAATTTGGGTATAGTTCTCTCCAAACTGCTTCCTGCTTTTTGTTGAGCAAAGTAATTTTGGGGTGTGTTCATGGCAACCTTTTGGGGAGTCTTGGTTCATCAAACCACATTAGTCTGGAAAGATTCACAGGTTCTCATCCTCTGTGGAAACAAAAGAAGAACCTCTTTTCCGAAGCAACAAATCCTTTGACCCAAATTCTGACCCAAAATATGATACCTTTAAAATATACATGCTGGTTTAGCTTAGCAGACCATACAATGAAATGTCTCTCTGTAAGTAGCTCCTTCACAGTCAAAAATTTGAAGAAAACACAATAATATACATAATCTAGACTCTTTGTGTATATTCCCATCTCTACATTGCTTATTCTTCTTACTCCATTACTTTTAATACAAGTTTAATACTTATTTTATTATCTTTACTCCTTTAATCTATGACTGTCTGTACTCTTACATTATATTTACTGTCTCTTTACTCTTTTTTTCTCTCCCAAGCCTACATACATTTTTTAATGCACTATGTCTTTTATACATAGAGCTCTTTTATGTTTGAATCTGTCCTTGTGTATCTTAAATCCTTTTCTGTCCAGAAGTGCTTCTTAAAATGCTTAACAGCCTTACTAGGACTAAGGCTGCTTTGCCTTTTGGCTCTGCCTAATCCAACATGGTGGAACAAAGGTCTGTTTAGTGTGAGCCATGCTCACAGCCCCATTTTCAGGCACACAGTGGGTCTATGTTGCCATTAAGAATGTTGTAGCACTAAACTCACAAACCCCATTTAAATGCTCAGTAGCCAGACCACCCAAAAGAGTCAGAGCTGCCTGTGCTGGAGAACCGGGAACTGCTGTTTTTTAAAGAAGCTGCACAGTTCTTTACTGCATCTCTCTAAAAGCAGCCACAAGCCCATCTAGAAAAAAAATTGTGGCTACCAAGAAACTGTGCTAAATTCTGTTCTTTTGTGTCTAGAATTCCTTTTCAAGCTCTCTCAGGTTTTAAGTGGATTTAGTTGACCACATTGGGGCAACATTCTGTTGTAGGAAGCTGCTTGTTCGTTCCCGGCTACCCAGACTACAAAATAATCACACAGAAACTATATGATTTAAATCACTGCTTGGCCAATCACTTAAACATATTTAAGCATATTGTTAGCTAGCTCTTATATATTTGGTTAACCCATTTCTATATTTTATATTTTACCATTTGTCTTGGGACCTACCAGCAAGGTTCCAGCTGGCATCTCTCATCTTTCCCCTCTGGCAGCTCCATGGCATCTTGCTGACTCCTCTTTCTTTCTCCCAGCACTGCAGTCATAAACAATAAGCGATAAGAATTATCTCTTCTTTCTCCATGATAACAGGACATGGCAGATGACCATGATTTCTACAACAATACTTACCAAATCTTCTCTAAAGATCCCCAGAACTGTCAGGAATTCCTGGACTCCCCAGAAGTAATCAACTGGAAACAACATTTGCAGATTCAAAGTAAGAACAATGAGAAATGAGCTCAATCCCTTCTGTCTCTTATCTCACAGGATCTCCATGCTCTCCCTGCCAAGTTCCATGTCCTCAGTCAGATGTCCACAATTTGTGACCTCAAAGTATAAGTCTGTAACATGAGGGCCGGGCTCATTAGGGTTTCTATCCCACCCAGTCCCCCAGCCATTTAGGGCCAGAGAAAATCATACAGAGATCTTGAGAAGATTATAAACTGATTGGTCTATTAGCTCAGGCTTCATATTAGCTCGTATAATGTATATTAACCCATTATTCTTATCTATGTTAGCCACATGGCTCAGTACCTTTTTCAGCAGGATAGGTCACATCCTGCTTCTTCTGTGGTCTGGGCAGGAATGGGAGGAATGGACTTCTTCCTTCTAAGAATTCTCCTGTTCTCATCACCTCACCTCTACTTCTTGTCTGGTTGACCCATTTATACTTCCTGCCTGGCCAATCAGCGTTTATTCAAAATATAATTGACAGAATACAGACAATTCTCCCACACCACTTCCCCCTCTTTTTTTTTAAACAAGGGAAAATATCCATAGTCCATTTTTTGGGAATGTGGGTGTAGTTTTTCAGGCTACTTTCAGCTGTTTGGGGGCAATGATAATCTTATGAGGACATAAAGAAAATTTAGAATTATAATCAAGTCCTGACTGGAGTATCCTGTGAGGCTTGATCATCTCAGGCAGCATCTTGAATCTGTTCTGGATGTAGAACTCAGACATCTGGGCCATCTGTTCCTACTGGAGATTTTTCAGGTGGTCTTCCTTGATCAAAGCTGAGTTTTCTAACTCAGAATGAATCCACAGCCTCTCATTTCCTGTGCAAACAAAAGCAAAATCTCTTCTCCAAAGTAACATATCTTTTGACTTCAATTTTGAAGTCAAGGTATTTTCAAAATGCCTATCTTGTGTTAGTTCAGCAGTATTTATAAGCAAATATCTTTTAGCAGTTGTTGTTCCTTCCTCAGCATTTAAACAATTCAAAAAGAGCACAATAATTTAGAATATCAAGATTCTTTGTGTATTTTTTATCTTTACGTGGCTTTATTTTAACCTCTATTTTTTTATTTTTACTTTTCCTGTTTGAGACAGGTTCTCTGTATATCTTTGTCCTGGAATAACTCTGTAGACCAGGTTGTCCTTGAACTCACAGAGATCTTGCCTCTGTCTGCCTCCCCAGTGCTGGGATTAAAGGTGTCTGCCACCATACCTTGAATTCACAGAGGTCTGTCTGCCTTTGCCTCCCAAACTTTGGAAATAAAGGCTTGTGCTACCACACCTTGAACTCACAGAGATCTGCCTGCCTCTGCCTCCCAGGCATTGGGATTAAAAGTGTGTACCACCACACCCAACTACTCTCTTTTTTTAAGGACTTTAACCTTTAGCCTGCATATATTTTTAACACAGTGTAAACCATTTAGAGGCTTTTTTCATCTTTGACTCTCTTTACTGTATATCTCTCTTTTTTGACCACACAAGTCTTTAATTTACCAAGCAATATGGGTAGGATTAAGGCCGTGGCTTTGATGGCTGGATCCACCCCATTACTTAGCTTTATGTGATTCCAGCCTCATGGCGGAGTTACCAGCTGTAGCCACGTTTATTGCCACAACTCTATGGAGTTTCAAGATCCCTGCAAGCTGCAGTAGTGCACTCAGAAGACACACTCAAATGCTCCATAGTCAGATTGACTTCCTGAAAGAGTCAGAGTTTGCCCTGGCAGGAGGGCCCAGAATGCCAGCATTTTAAAACAGCACAGCTTTTTCCATGGTTCCTTTTTCTGAGGGGCAGGTCACATCCTGATTCTTCTGTGGTCTGGGCAGGAATAGGAGGAATGGGCTTCCTCCTTCCCAGAATTCTCCTGTTCTCATCACCCCACCTCTACTTCCTGTCTTGTTGACCCACCTATACTTCCAGCCTGGCCAATCAGCATTTATTCAAAATATAATTGACAGAATACAGACAATTCTCCCATACCATAAGTCAAATAAATCCTTCTACCCCCAGTTGAGTTTCATTATAGTGTTCTTAACAGCCACATTATGAAACTAGAACAGGGGGATAGGTCAGCTAATATTTGATGTAATAGAAAACTCATAATAAAGAGAATCAACAATTTAGTTTGGGCTTTGCAGGCAGCACATTACTCTTCTCTACTAGATTTGTTCATGTATCATATGGTGATTGGAGAACTCAATACATGTTGCTTCACCATAGGCTCATTCACATGTGTAGATGGTGGTTCTGACTGTCAGTCAATGCCAACTATTGGTTGTGATGATGGTACAATGTGTCTCTGGTCAGCTACCCTATACTAGTTTCTATGCAGCTGGTTTCAAGGTAACTAGGATCAATCAATCAATCAATCAATAAATAAATAAATAATTAAAGTCTCAAGGTCTAACACTGTTAAGCCTCTTTTTGTATAAGTTTATATTCCTATTGATCAGATGGGGTATGGAAGTGAACTACTCCAGGGAACAGATGCAGTGAATTAAATTCCAAATCCTTGCTTCAATAATCTACTATATTGGGGGCTGGAGAGATGGCTCAGAGGTTAAGAGCATTGCCTGCTCTTCCAAAGGTCCTGAGTTCAATTCCCAGCAACCACATGGTGGCTCACAACCATCTGTAATGGGGTCTGGTGCCCTCTTCTGGCCTGCAGGCCTATACACAGACAGAATATTGTATACATAATAAATAAATAAATATTAAAAAAAAGAAAAAATCTACTATATTGTGTACACGACTCAGAAGAAGCTGGCTACCATATTTTATAGCTCATTCTCTTTTATTTTCAAAACTACACGATTATATACCTTAAAAAACTTAGTTCCAGTCTTGGTTCATTCACAAAATGACTATGAATTAATTCATTCCCTGTCATGTCATCATTTTTGTAAGACAGGGCACATTTTGCCCGCCATGTCTATATGGTCGTTCACACAGCAGCATCAACTTGAGCATAATCAAATTCTATCTTAAATCTCACACTTTCTACCCCATTGGAGAGGCCCCACCCAGAACATATCTAGCCATTTCCTCTCTTCTTAGAAGTTCACAATGTTTTCTTATAAACCCATTTAGGTTCCCAGTCTCGCCTGAATGAGGCGATACAAAATATTGCAAACATTCAGTCTTTCCAAGTCAACCGCTCAGAAAACATCCTCTTTGTAACAGCAGAGACAATCAAGAAACTGTTCCCTGACCTGCTGGATCCAAAGAATTTATCTCCGGGTAGTGGCAAGCCCAAGGCCATGTGAGTTTGATCAGAGCTCTTCTACATCTCTCACATCTTTCTTCTCCAGCCCCACTTCCTGAGGCTGGTTGTACTCTGGTCCTTGCTGTCCACACTCTTGTAGATGACCCCACCCACGCTCATGCAAGCAACTCTAATTATATGCAGTTGTTACACTACACACACAAAAGAAATGAAAGAAGAACTTATGGGCAGAACTTCAATAGAGTGGGGACAGTAGAATGAAGGTAGTTAAGAGTGCTTAAAACTAACATATGTGACATATATTTATGGGATTATTAAATAACAAACTTTTAAAAAGTTTGAATTATAATACTGCCAGTAAGATGGTTCATCAATTAAGGACTTTGATGGCCAAGGCTGACTAACTGAGCTACTGAACTCAATACCTGGGACCAACATGGTCAAAGGAGATAACCATCTCCACAGATTCTTCTCTAACCCACAGTCCATGTACATCCATACCCGCTTATTCATCCCCACACAAAAAGTCATTAATTAAGTTAAGAAGGGAAATTAAAAATGATAAGAATAATCTACAGAAGTATAAATCTGACCAGGTTCCTCTCTCTTTTTTTTGCATTATTGTAAAAGTAAAGTTCTCCGTTCACTGTTTGACATTTATTATTCTTGCTCATTTTCTCCTACCACACTGGCCTTTCTGTCCTTCCAGCATAAGTCCATCTATATTCCAGGACTTTGCATTTGCTGCTTCCAATGCTCTGCCCCTCAAGATAATAGAGGTAGGAATAGACTGTACCCTTATATTAACAGGCTTTGCTTTCTTCTTGGACCCTCTATAGCAATCAAGACATGTTTAAACTTTCATCCTTGGATATCACCCATGCTGCCTTGGTGAATAAATTCTGGCTTTTTGGTGGCAATGAGCGGAGCCATAGATTCATTGAACGCTGTATAAAGAAGTTCCCAAGTTGCTGTGTCCTGGGGCCTGAGGGGACCCCTGCATCCTGGACCCTAATGGACCAAACTGGAGAGATGCGAATGGGAGGCACCATGCCTGAGTATCGAAACCAAGGTCTTGTCTCCTTTGTTGTCTATTCACAAGACCAGATTATGAAGAAACGTGGCTTTCCTGTTTATTCTCACACAGACAAAAGCAATATTGCCATGCAAAAAATGAGTTACAAACTGCAACATCTCGCCATGCCCAGTGCCTGGAACCAATGGAAGTGTGTGCCTATGTGAAGCTAGCCTTGAACACAAGATGGTGTTGGGGGGGGGGGACCTGGGAATGTAACTGGATGGCAGACAAAGAATAAAGGTGACCAAAAAGAGAGAATAAATGGAAACCAGATGCAAAGGAGTGGGACTGTCTGTACTCTGGGGAAGCAGTGTGAAAGGCTGACAGATATGCCATAGTTATGTTCATCAGATTGCTCTTAGACTCCCTGAAGTTCATTATCTGAAGAAGGTCTATGTCTTTCAGTATTGAACTCTTCTAATTTAGTCACACATCCTGGATCTATATGACACTCCCTTATCAACTACACAAAGCTCCAAATGGTTCCTCTTGGAAGCCCTAGTACACAACTTGGAGACTTCTGCTAACCTTGCTCGTGATAATGAGATAATGTTTTCTGGCTTCTGTGCCTTATTCCTCTCTGTCTATGGCTTTTCCTTCAGCGATCAGCAAGTGTATTCTCATCAGGTCTTAAGAAAGTAGCCACTCCTTTGCTGGCTGCTTTATACATATATTAAATACATTATACACGAACCATACAGTTTATCAGATTAAACAAAATACACATAAAATAGCAAAGGAAGATAACAAGGAAAAGCCTAATTTTGATTTTCCAGTTCCATCTTAGCCCCAAGAAAATAAAGCAATGTGGCTTTCAAAAACTTGACTTCCCAATCTACTGCAATCCTGTGAGAATAAATAGAATATGTGGTTGGTTGCACAAGTTTTATGCTAAATGATATCGCTTTTATTTCACTGTAGCTACTTAATTACAAATCCTTCCCTTCATTCACATCAATTTCCTTGGTATTTCTTTATAATTCCAAACAAGCTCCTGCTTCAGGGCTTTTGTACTTCCTGTCCCTCTTTGTGGAATACTCCCTGCCTCCACTTAGCTCTCTGGGATGTCACCTTTTCTCTGTCCCAACTGAAACATCTTATAAAATAGTCACTCTCCATGTGTAACATCCACCTCTCCCAGTAGTCTGCATCCTCCTTAGAACAATTCCTAGACTGCATACTGGCTCCCTCTGTTAAATAGGGTAACCATTGATGTAGAGTGTGTCATGTGTTATATGCTTGTATACTTCTAGAGGTACTCAAAACGTATCACCAATTTTCCAGTTTGCTGAGATATTTTGATCTAAATTTTCACTCAGCACAACGATGTCAGTTTGCTAGAATTAAATTGGGAAACTACTTCATATTTATTTATTATACACTTGACTGAAATCATTGTAAAAGTCTGCTTTGGATACAAATTGACAATATGTATCAGTAATAAGTATAGCAAACATTAAATATTCTAATATACTGCATAATGTTCATGTATTTAATTTTGATTATTATGGAGCTTAGTAATACATGCATTCTGTTCATGACAATGTACAGATGTTCAATACTATTGAATAGTACACATCAACATACAGGTATTCAATACTATTGAATAGTACATTTAAAAGGGTATTTAATAATTATTTTACCATAAACTCATTCACATGCGTGCCACCATCTCCCAACAAATAATTTCTGTTTCTTTCCAACCTAAGTTCAACTCGATGAAAAATCAGAGACTCCTAGAGTCTTTTATGTATATAAACCTATCATGTGTGAGCAAAGAGTCTTGGACTTCTTCCTTTCTTGTGTGTACCCCATTTAGTTCAGTCATTTGTTTCATTATTCCAGCTAAGACTTCAAGTATTTTATGCAGGAAAAGAGGAGACAAACTTGTCTTCTTTCTGATTTAGTGGAAATTCTTTGAAGTTTTGTCTGTTTAGGATGATGTTTGAAGTGGGTTTTCCATATGTTGTCTTTATTATATTGAACTGTATCCTGGGTATCCCTATACTTTCAAGTATGTTTTTCAGAAGTGGTAAATAATTTCAAATTCAGTTTTGCATCTCACGAGTTGGTCATGTGGTCTCTGCCCTTTATGAATGTGCTAGATTACATTAAATACTTTAGGTTTGCTGAATCACCTTGCATCTCCTGGATGAAATAAACTTTATCATGGTGGATAATCATTTTTATGTGTTCTTAAATACAGTTTTAAAGTATTTTATTGGCAATTTTGCATCTACAAACAACAAAGATAGTGTCTATAATTTCCTTATAATGGCTATTATTTTGTTTTTGCTTTCTGAGCAATACTGACTTTATGAAAGGAGCATGGGACTGTTCATTTGCTTCTGTTTTACAGAATAATTTGAGGAAAACTGGTAAGTTCTTCTTGAAAGAGTGCTGGAATTCTACATTGACTCCATCTTACCCTGCAGTTTTCTTACTTGGAAATTTTTTTCTTGTGCATCATTACATATAATTGGACCATTATGTTATGAAGGTCAAGCTCATCTTGGTTTACCATTAGTGGGTCATGTGTACTAAGAAATCCCTCCATGTTTTAGAGTTTAGTGCAAGATTGCAGATTTTTAAAAAGTATGTCTCCCTGAATTTCCTCTAAATCTCTTGTCATATAACTCTGCACAACTCTAATTTTCTTAATTGCAATGATCTATCTTCTTATTTTCATCAATCCAACTAATGGCTTGTCAATAGTTTTACATAACCAGCTCTTAGTTCTTATTGGTTCTTTATCTTGTTTTGTTATTGGTATTCCAAACTTTCAAAGGACTGTCTTTTCCCTCATTTTTTTCTTTTATTTATTTTAATTTTATGTTCGCTTGTGTTTTTCCTGCATGTATGTCTGTGTGAGGGTATCGGATCCCAAGGAACAGGAGTTTCAAACAGTTGTGAACTGCCATGTGGGTGCTGGCAATTGAACCCAGGCCCTCTAGAAGAGTATCCAATGCTCTGAACCACTGAGCTACCCTCATTTTTTTAAAACCAGACTTTCCTTTTTGTTTTTTTTTTAATAAATGGGAACTCTTGTGTGCCACAGTTAGCTTTCTGCAGTTCCCTCATCATTCTCAAGGATAAATCCTCTCCATAATATACAACGTGCAATATTTATAAACTTTGAGATTGTCTATGTAATCATAGATACACCATTTGTGCTGAGAATGAAACTGGGCCATAATTAATCACTGAGAAAGGGCACATATTCCATGATGCTTTCATGTAGGGGTCAACTGACTTTTGTAGAAAATCTAAGATGCGTAATGAGACAGTATGTAATTCCTTGCAAAAAAAACCTGCACAAAATAAAAATCAAGGCCTCAATATGAAACCTGAAGCACTAAAACTGTCATAAGAAAATATAAACAGCACCCTTCAATATAGGTGTGCAAAAGGATTTTTTTAAACGGGACTCTGTGTTCCCAGAAATTAAGACCAAGAATTGACAACTGAAACTTCATAAAACTAAAAGGACCCTATATAAATGAGCAACCAACGAACAGAGTGAAAAGGAAAGCAGCAGAAAGGCAGGCAATTTCACTAGCTACATAGCTGACAGAAGATTGACATCTAGGATACAGAAATAAATCAGCAAACAAAGGATTAAGTGGCAAAAGCCAAGCTGTCTCCATGGAAATGGTGCATAAATGTTTTGCATATGGAGGTCCTTAAGGCGTGGCCCTTTGGAGAACCCCATCCACCCAGAAGGACCTGTGGAAGTGATGCTGCTGACCCCAGCGCTGGTCCCAGGGAGCCCATAGGCTTCAGGCTTCTCTAACTTTAGCTTTGCTTACTCTTATGGTAATTCTTAGTTTCGCTTTGCCAGTTATGATTGTGACTGAGTTTACCGGGATAATTTTTCTGAAAGTCTCTACAAAGAAATCAAGGCTCTCTGCAGTCATTCACAGAAACCGGTTTCTCCAGCCGCCCCTGGCTGTTCTTGCCATCATTCTGAGTAAGTAGAAGGAACTCACTAACGTAAATGGTTCTTGCTTATTTAACTACCCTAAAAAAGAGAAAACAATATTCCAAAGAGCTTAGGAACTTGGGAGATGGTTTCTTAAAAGATGACACTGAAAACCTATGGTGCGACATAAGGTAAAGATAAACGATACAAAGGGTCAGACATCTCTCTGGTGCCAGGATACGAATGTTTAGATATGTTTTCAGTTAAAGCTCCCAGTTCCCTTGGAAGTAAAAGTACGCATAGAAACTTCCAGGAAGAATAGAAATTTGGCCCCAACTGTTTAAAATTTAGGCAATCATTACCATTTGAAAATGTATAAAGAATAGGATTATAACTGTTGTCCACATAAAAGTGGTATGCAGATTATCTAGAAATTGATTTACACCTGAGAATAATATCCGAGGTATGGCGTCATACACTCAACTGATTATAAAAATACAAAAATATCAGAATGGTTTTTTGTAAACACATGCTTGCTGCCGGCTAGGGCACAGTGTGAATGAGGTGTCCCTGGCTAGATATAATCATTTGGCTTGCAATATAAAAATTAATGATTTGGGGTATAGGTCAATGACCAAAGGAGTGAGACAAGGAAAAGAAACTAAAATGGGTAAATATTAATGATTTTTGGAAAATGATTAAAGAGAAATGTATTGCAACTGCGCATGCTTGAATGCTTTAGAACTTGAATAAATAAAAATGACTTGAGTTTTAAAAAAAAGAAAGAATAATCAGAGACAGGAGGCATTACCATCCCTGACTTCAAACTCTATTACAGAGCTACAGTGATGAAAACAGTGTGGTACTGGCATAAAAACAGAGATGTCAACCAATGGAATCGTATAGAAGACCCGAATTTTAACCCACAAACCTATGAACACCTCATTTTTGATAAAGGAGCGAAAAGTATACAATGGAAGAAAGAAAGCATCTTCAACAAATGGTGCTGGCATAACTGGATGTCAACCTGTAGAAGAATGAAAATAGACCCATATCTATCACCATGCACAAAACTCAAGTCCAAATGGATTAAAGACCTCACTATCAGTCAGAACACATTGAACCTGATAGAAAAGAAAGTGGGAAGTACCCTACAACAGATGGGCACAGGAGATCGCTTCCTATGTGTAACCCCAACAGCACAGACATTAAGGGCAACATTGAATAAATGGGACCTACTAAAACTGAGAAGCTTCTGTAAAGCAAAGGACACTGTCACCAAGACAAAAAGGCAACCTACTGACTGGGAGAAGATCTTCACCAACCCCGCAACAGACAAAGGTCTGATCTCCAAAATATATAGAGAACTCAGGAAACTAGACTTTAAAATGCTAATTAACCCAATTAAAAAATGGGGCACTGAACTGAACAGAGAATTCTCAGCAGAGGAAGTTCAAATGTCCAAAAGACACTTAAGGGCATGCTCAACCTCCTTAGCAATCAGGGAAATGCAAATTAAAACAACTTTGAGATATCATCTTACACCTGTCAGAATGGCTAAAATAAAAAACTTCAATGATAGCCTTTGCTGGAGAGGCTGTGGAGGAAGGGGTACCCTCATCCATTGCTGATGGGAATGCAATCTTGTGCAACCACTTTGGAAATCAGTGTGGTGGTTTCTCAGGAAATTCGCGATCAACCTACCCCTGGACCCAGCAATACCACTCTTGGGAATATACCCAAGAGATGCCCGATCATATGACAAAAGCATTTGTTCAACTATATTCATAGCAGTATTATTTGTAATAGCCAGAACCTGGAAACAACCTAGATGCCCTTCAATGGAAGAATGGATGAAGAAAGTGTGGAATATCTACACATTAGAGTACTACGCTGTGGTAAAAAACAATGACTTCTCGAATTTTGCATGGAAATGGATGGAAATAGAAAACACTATCCCGAGTGAGGTAACCCAGACCCAAAAAGATGAATATGGGATGTACTCACTCATAATTGGTTTCTAGCCATAAATAAGGGTCACGGAGTCTACAATTGGTGATCCCAAAGAAGCTAAGTAAGAAGGTGAACCAAAGGAAAAACATATAGTTATCCTCTTGGCTATGGGAAGTAGACAAAATTGCCGGGGAGAAAATTGGGATCTTGGGGTGGGGTGGGATGGGGGTAAGGGGAGATGGGGAGAGAAAAGGGAGAAGGGGAGGATGGGGGGAACTTGGGGAAAAAGGAGGATTGGGATAAAGGAAGGTTGGATAGGGGAGCATGGAAGCACAATTCTTAGTTAAGGGAGCCACCTTAGGGTTGGCAAGAGACTTGAACCTAGAGTGGCTCCGAGGTGCTCAAGCCGAGGTCCCCAGTTAGTTCCTGGGGCAGCTGAGGATAGGGAACCTGAAATGACCCTATCCTTTAGCAATACTTACGAATATCTTGCATATCATCATAGAACCTTCATCTGGTGATGGATGGAGATAGAGACAGAGACCCACACTGGAGCACCGGACTGAGCTCCCAAGGTCGCAATGAGGAGCAGAAGGAGGGAGAACATGAGGAAAGAAGACGGGACCACGAGGGGTGCACCCACCCACTGAGACAGTGGAGCTGATCTATTGGGAGCTCACCAAGGCCAGCTGGACTGTGACTGAAAAAGCATGGGATAAAACTGGACTCTCTGAACATGGCGAACAATGAGGGCTGATGAGAAGCCAAGGACAATGGCACGGGGTTTTGAACCTACGTAATGTGCTGGCTTTGTGGGAGCCTAGCCAGTTTGGATGTTCACCTTCCTGGATATGGACGGAGGGGGGAGGACCTAGGACTTATCACAGGGCAGGGAACCCTGCCTGCTCTTTGGACTGGAGGGGGAGGGAGAGAAGGTTGGGAGGAGGGGGAGGGAAATAGGAGGCTGGGAGGAGGTGGAAACTTGTTTTTTTTTTCTCCTTTTCTCAATAAAAAAAAGTTAAAAAGATAAAAAAAAAAATAAAACTACAGGCCAGTAAAAAAAAAGAAAGAAAGAAAGAAATAAAAAAGAAAAATCAGAGACGCACAGGTAGGGCGCCCTCTAGAGGCGAGTTAGAGAAGAGTTTGCTTTGCCTCTCCCTTAGGTGGTTACCAGCATTCCTAGCTTGTCACTTAATATACAGAACTTAGCTCTACCTCTCTGGTCCCATTGCTTTTCCCTCTTTGTGTCTCTCTAACCTCCCTCTGCCTCTCTTTTTAATTTGCTATGAAATCCA